AATACAAAAAGGACTCTACTGACAGGAAAACTAAAAGCACAGTTTAAGGTCACTTAGAAAAAGAAGGACTCTACTGTAAGCAAATTCAATTTAGATACTGAAAGGGACTGTACTGATAAGCAAAAATATTAATGAAAAATGCTTTGTGAAAGGGACTCTACTGACGAGCAAATATGAATAAAAAATGTCTCTAAAGAATTCACACTGACGAGCAAACTCAATTTTAATTTAAAATATTTGAAATTGGACTTTACTGGCGACCAAATTTGAAATTCGTAAATATAAAAAAAGACTCTACCGTCGAGCAAACTAAAAATTGACAAAAAAGCAAAATGGGGCTCTACTGACAAATGAATAATAAATAAACAATATAATAGAAAAGGGTCTCTACTGACAAGTGATCAAATAACTTGATAGAAATGTACAAAAATGATCTAAAATTAAAAAGGGACTCTACTAACGAGCAAAATTATTAATTAGAGAAAGGGGCTATACTGTCCAGCAAGATTATTAATATTTAATTACTTGAAAAGCGGATACTTCTGACGAGCAAGGTTATAAAAAAAGGACTCTACTGACGCGTGAATTGAATATCGTCTGGAAAAAAGTAAAAATACAATCAGTCAATGAATGTATGTTATTTTAATTACATGAAGTTCTTCAAACACAATTATTACATGATGAGTGAAGTTGCAAAAAACGTGATATTGTGAACGAATATTATAGAATTGTTTATCAGCAACTCCTTCATTTCGGTGTAACCATATTACTGATGAACATTATTCAAAATTGTTATATGATGTATTTATTTTTACTTAAATGACATCTTGTACAAAAGCAAATAAGTTTTACTTCAATCGCGTGAGAACTTTACACGCACTCTTTTTTCACACAATTGACTTCTTCATTCTTATTTTTCTCCTAAATGAGAATTCTACGTCAGTGCCAGGTCTCGAACCGAGAATCCCTGAGTCGGGCAAGCTACTGACTGAGCTATTCCCGGTTATTATTATTTACACTCGTACACTAAGGGTTTAAGATTATCATAAATCTAATAAGATAATTTTTCTCACCTTACCGGTTCAAATCTGTATTTTCGTTTCTGGTCACTCGACAGGGTGATATCGAAAACCGAATGGAAAATGTGTCCTTTCGTTTTATCCGGCAGCCAGATTTTGTAAAAACGTATCGGATTTAGGCTTAGATTTTCGGGTGTGTCTCCTGCTACCTGGAAATTGATTTGTACAACGGAAATGCGTTACGCCACAATACTGATTCGTCATTGGCTATCGATGTGATCATTCGAAACGAGTTGTTCTGCTTGGTCGAATTTGTCTAGTCATGTGATATCAATAAACGATATTTCAAATTCTTATATGATGAATTTAAAATAATTTTTTTAATGAAAATCAAAACCATACTACATCGTGACTCGTAAATAATTATAATAAAAAACAAATTAAACATGTAAAATTCATAATCTCTCATACCAGGCACTTCTGTCTGTCTGAGATATGGTAATAATGTATATATATATATATATAAACTAGCTGCAAGTGGAATTCTGTCTTGAGGCAATTATGGCATTGTGCCTTAAGGCAAATTGCTGGAACTTCCCGTACCGTAACAAAATGTTTGAGGAATACTGAATGTTTTCAAATAGATTATTATAAATATTGTAACATTGTCTAATATTTATAAGAATTATATAAACTGAATTGCAGAGTTGAAACTATTTGTTTAAAGTATATTAGAACTATAGTCAGAATTAAACATAAAATCTGAATTATTTTCGATATACAAAACAAGCAGAAAGTTCTTTGAATCATTTAAATCGGACGCTTAGTTCTTTCAAACACTGCCACTTTTTACATATTTAGCTCCTTATCTTCGAAATGGCTGGGCCTGCCTTTGCCAAAAACTAATAACCACTTCTCCGAATCATTACAAATAGAATGTTTTTTAGATCATTCAAATCGGATACTCCGTTCTCTCAAAAAGTCGATTTTTATTTTCTGCCCTCTTTGCTCCGTATCCTCGAAACAACTGGACCTGTCTTTGCAAAAACTAATCAGCTATTTTCCCTATCAATAGGAATCGAATGTTTTTTGAACCATCAAATCGGTTGATCCGTGCGCCCGAAAACGTGACTGGAAATTTGTATCCATACATACATTCACACACACACACACACACACACACACACACACACATCCATTTTTTCTGAGGTATGCCAAAATGTTCAGAAAACCTTCAAAACATCGAGAAATGTAAAAATTTTCAATTCCGATTTTCGGCCCATTACAATAACTTACCCTACTACCCCTAGTTCAAGTATACAAGCTCATTTCTTTATTTCGATTAGAACTTCATTATTATTTTCACTCTTACATTTTTCAATAATTTATAAACCGCGTTTTTCCAAGTCCCTTCAGTGACTTTAGCAGAAGGAACCAAAGTTCATTCGCCAATTCAGAAGACAACAAAACTGTCGAATCCTCCGGACAATGTACCAAACTGATATGACATCACATAAATCGGCAGGAGATTGAAATGATACATTACTTGCTTCAGACCACATTTTATAAAAATACGTTTTAATTTCACTGGGAATAATTTTGAATCATTTTTGACTGTTTTTGAATTTTGCCTTGACAGTTTAAACAAAATTTCCTATAACTAGACATGGTTTCGATTCAAACAATATTCAAAATTAGTAATTCAAAATTAGGAATTGTATGAGGTGTAGAAAAATAAAAACAAATTATTTAAATCTGTGACATATGTATATGTCATACATAAAAATATTTCTAGAATTCTTTAGAATAAAAAATAACTTACAGATTGTGGATGTAAAAGTATGTTGTGTATGAGTGAAAGAGGCAGCTAACACAAGTTATATTGATGGTTACCCACTACAAAGCATGCCACATATAAATGTTCCTGGGTCATATTAGAAGTCTTTGCAAGGGCCAAATTAATCTGAAACTAATTTTATTTAAATTGAATTGGCATTTGGATATTCAAGGTTTTTATTAATATTAATATTAATTAATTAATTTTTAACTCCCAAACCAAAATTCGAATTTTTATATTTTTCAATAATGCTGTGAAATTTTAAAAAAATTTTGGAATTATTTAAATAAATAAACAATATTTACTCCAAATAAAAGACCAATATGAGCTCAATATAAATAAACAATATTTACCCCAAATTTAAATATTTAATTTATATACTAAAACAGCATTTAACACTGTGATAAACATATATTCTTATATATAAAAGCACTTTTATAAATAAAAATAAAGTAAGACACACTTAATATATAAAATAAGAAACATTAAATAAACAAAAGCACATTTCTACAATCATGAAGTAGCTGGCAGTTTTACTGAATGTAGTCAGATAATTGTTTGTTTGAAATGTTATTTGTTGTGATATAATTGGTTTGGTTTTCACAATATAGTTTATATTTGCTCAAAGTCAAAATGGTCCTTTGTGTCTCACCCTGCTATACATATATACTTTTTATTAAATTTACTTTAATTCATCAAATGTTACTTGAAACTTTTCAAAAAGCAAGTCAAAGAAGAAATACTTAATTCATTTTTATCTCTCCTCGCAAAAATTTGAAATTTTGTATAAGCTCAGTAGTATTATTTACAATTATACACAAAATCCAGAATTCAAAAAGAATCTGAAAAACTTGAAACGTAATCAAAAAGTCAAAAGACCAAAAAAGACTTAGATTGGATTATACCATGTTTTCTATAGAAAGTGTATAAAACTTGCAGTTTGATTGTATTGACAAAATATAGACAAACTAATGGGGTTTATTGTTTTTATAATACCTCACTGTACACAGCATTGAAACAACACATTCTTATACACTTAAAGTATTAATATTTTTGATTCTCTAGAAATTGTTTAGAATATACCTTACTTAGCAAAACAACGTTTGCCGGGTCAGCTAGTATATATATTTAAAGATATAGATAGATTAATTTTTCATATTACAATTTATTAAAATTATGTACAATTCTTTTATTACAATTCACATCAAATCAACTAAATTATAAAAATGTCATTTACTTCTCATTACATATCCATAGTCTCTTGAGCCCTGCAACAAAAAAAAATATAATAAACAATTATAAATATATATATATATATATATATATATATATCATATTATATTAAATTTCAACCAAGAAGGGAATATTTTGGCATTTAAAAATTTAGTGCATATTGGATATTCAATTCAAGAAATTGACATTCAATATTTTTAAATTAAAATGCAAAAGTAAAAAATCTGATATTTATATAAAAAATTATATGTTTAGATAATGGTACTGCGTTGATTCAGACTAAAATCTAATTTATACATACAGTGATTAAAAAAAGTATTTTACTATTTGACATAAATAAAACTAAAATAAACAAAACACTGTGATGCGTTGGAATTAATTATCAAAATATAAAGAAATTTGTGTTATGAGATATAACATTATTATTAATATATCATGTATATTATAAGAACTTCTGGAAAAGCGGCAAAATATTTTTGATGGCAAAACGTTTGCCGGGTCAGCTAGTATATATATATATATATAATATATATATATATATTGTAATTATTTTAATCCAATTTACTTGTTGTAAATGGTGTTTAGTATATGGGCACTGTATTTATATCGTTTTTCATACTCCGCTGCATGTTCTTGCCAATGATTTCTAACTTTCAGCCAACGTTTGAGATGATTTTTTAATAACTCTTCTTTCGGTGGGGCTTCATCTGAGTCCTGGGAAAAAATTAATAATGTAGATATAAACAAAAATAGAAATTTTATATAGATTGAAGTAATAATAAAATTCATGTTGAAGACATGTAAATGTAATTATTATTTGCAAAAATTCTAAAAATTATTGAAATTTGATCAGTTTTTTTTGTAACTGAGCATATGAAAAAAAATTTTTGAAGCTCATATATAATAATTTTTTGCTTATCGAAAATAATTCAGATTTTATTTTAATTCTGACTAAAGTTCTAATATACTTCAAACAAATAATTTCAACTTTGCAATTCAGTTTATATAATTGTTATAAATATTAGACGATGTTACAATATTTATAATAATCTATTTGAAAACATTTAATATTCCTCGATCATTTCGTTACAGTATGGGAAGTTCCAGCAATTTGCCTTAAGGCACGATGCTGTAGACCCCACTAATTATACATTATATTTATTTGCAATTATTACAACCTACTCTACAAAAAATAATAATTTATTATTCTTACATAATCAAGATTAATTTCTTCAATATTCTCCTTTGCATAAATCTCCATTTTGGGCGGAATCCTATTAATGAGAGCCCCTTCAGGTGCCGGCAATGCTAAAACATCTTTAATTTCACCTTCGGCCGACATATCCAATGATGTGAACTTTTCACGCTTTATTATTTTTGGTTCAACAGGCTTGGGCTTTTCCACTTGCGATATTCTCCTGGTAAAGGACACAAAATGTAATAAATATATAGATATATACATATATATATATATATATATATATATATATTAATTTCGAAATATGAACAAACAACACTCTTTTTTGCACTATTTTATTAAATTTAATAAAATAGTGCAAAAAAGAGTGTTGTTTGTTCTTATTTCCAAATTAATATTTATATCCACTCAGAATACATTTGTTATATATATGTATATATATATATATATATATATATATATATATATAAAGAGAATCTTATTCTTATTACGTCTTTGCTTTCAATTTTGGTTGGTTAGTCATCCAGGCTCTGCATATTGGGTACAAAGGAGTCTCTTCAGTGTACATTGTAAGATCAACACTCCTATCGTACAATTTCATGATATAAGTATGTGTGCAATCTGTAGCACCTTCCCGCTTCTTCCGTTGTTGTGCATAATTTACATAACTGCAGAAAAAAATATATTACAAAAGGCAATACTAAATTTGTTGTACTTTTTTCATAGTACTTACTTATCCTCATTATCATAAGCTTCATCGTATTCTGATTCCTCGCTCTCTTCATCACTACCTTTAGCAATTCCTTGCAGAGCACCCATTAATCTACCACGGGCTGCTGATACATCAGTATCATCTAGATAATAGATAGATGAAATATATAATAAATGATAAATAGATGAAATAAACAATAGATGATATAAACTATTAATAGATGAAATACAATAAATATATAAATATCTACTATATTATAACCATCTACTTACTGTCATCTCCAGATTTGTTGGAACGTTTTCTTGGCATTTTTTTAACCCCCGTGCAAAAACTTTTATAAAACTAGTTTTTATTGTGTTAAATATTTATCAGAATCCACTTTTTATTAGTTTATTAATATTTGTTATTTTTAAACAAGCTTAGTTGTTTTAATTTCAAATGATGCTGTTACTATTGACATTTTATTTTGACTTGACAGTTCGTCAATGACACCTGAAGTTGCAGCGCTTGTTGGTAGATGGACATGTTGTTTGGTTTGAAAAATAATAAAATTAAATATAAAATTATTATTAAATACTCTTTATTTAATTGTTTTTTTGATAAAATCATATTGTTTATTGTAAAAGTAAACGAAATTTTTATATTAACATATCTTTCTCTGCACTATTTTTATTTTTTTATGAACTAGTACATTTCGGCGCGAATTTCAAATTTGAATTTGTTTGATATGAATGAAAATGTTAAAATAAACTCAAAAATGATATGTTTATAGACCAGGTTATTATTATTAAATACTAATTATTTAATTGTTTTTTGATAAAATATTATTGTTTATTGTAAGAGTAAACATAACTTTCACATTAACATAAGTTTTCCTACGTTATTTTTATTTTTTATGAACAAGTACATTTCGGCGCGAATTTCAAATTTGATTTTGTTTGATACAAATGAAAATGTTAAAATAAACTCAAAAATGATATGTTTATAGATTTATTGTAAAAGTAAACATAACTTTCATATTAACATATCTTTTCCTACGTTATTTTTATTTTTAATTATGGGTATATGAACTAGTACATTTCGGCGCGAATTTCAAATTTGATTTTGTATAATAGAAATGAAAAGGTTGAAATAAACTCAAAAATGATATGTTTGATGGTATAAAATGATATTATTTGTAGTTTGATTATATAGCAAACTACATAATAAGATATAGTGTTTATAATATTATTTATCATTTCAGATGTTATTTATACACTTAATTATGAGTATAAAAATTTAAATGTGTACAAGTATATTGACGCAAAGTACATTTGAATATGTACAAGTACGCAAAATGAACAAAACTTTCATATTAATATATCTTTTCCTACGTTATTTTTATTTTTAATTATGGGTATATGAAGTAGTACATTTCGGCGCAAATTTCAAATTTGAATTTGTTCGATATGAATGAAAATGTTAGAATAATCTTATGAATAATATGTTTATACACCAGGTTATTACTTAAATATTGATTACTTAACAAAATACGGAATAAGATATTTAATTAACCCAAACATAATATAAATAGGTATTTTAACCCTTTCCACTCGCAAATTCCGGTATTTATATGTATTTTTCACCGGAGCTGCGTCATCCGAGTTGAAAGGGTTATTTTATAGCATAACAGTTTGTAAATCAATAAATTTAATCTTTATTATAAATATTATTAATATAGACGTGTTTATAATATTATTTGTTCACTCAGTTGCAATTTTTATACTTATTTACGACCAATGAAATTTGAATGTGTACAAGCACATTTTGGCGGAAATTTAAAATTTGACTTTAAATCTTTTTTCAAATTTAAAATTCTTATGTAATTCTTACATAAAATTGATTGCGTAACAAGATATAAAATAAGTTATTAAATTATCATTATAAATATCATCAAAGTTAACTGGTTTTTAATATTTTTTATCCTGTCATTTGTTTTTCGTAATAATAATCCTTTCCATTCGCTAATTCCGAGATATATATGAATTTTGCCGCCGCAGTGGCTGCATCCGAGTGGAAAGGGTCAATTGATATAAATTAGAGTTCGAAATGAAAGAGTTTATTTAGGCTTCAAATTCAAATTTGATTTTCTAATAAATTCTAAGGTGCTTTCATATAAAATTTGTGAGTTATTTGACAAAAACCAAAAAAATGACCCGAATTTTCTATTTATTGCTAAAGAATGAAAAATCGAATTCAAAGTCGTTTTATTCAAAACTTTTATATTGGACTGTATATAGCTCTTTTCATGGATTTGTAGTAAATTTTATCTAGTTTCTCCTAAGCTAATTGAAAAAGAGTGCCCTCATATAAGGTTTGTCAGTTATTTGAGAAAAACTAAAAAAATATTTCAAGAAATTTCAAGAATTTATTTAGGCTTCACATTCAAATTTGCACTTGCATGCACTTAAAGTTCATAATTTCCAAACAACGTGAAATATTTTTATCCTCTAATTTTTTTGACGTTGAGTTCTGGGATACCCTGTATATATACATAATACCTATATTATCGATGTAATGTTCTATTATCCATAGTTTTGGAAAATTATTACGTCATCCCGAGTTATTAAATTTAATGTTCCCAATTATCCGTCCTCAAAAGCATTACCATTACTCCACCTACTGTTGCTCTTATCGCCATTAAATAACGTTTCGATCTAAATTGAGCTTTCGATGATGATGATGATGATGATAGTGCTAAAATAGCTTATAGTGAAGCTATATTGCTATATTAAGATATTCTGCGAATTTGATTTATATCATAGTAACAGAAATAATGAATAATTGTATGTTTTGTCTACAGGTGAAGAGTCAAATTGGGAATCGAAACGTGATAAAAAAACGTTAGGGCTAGACAACCCTTGTTAAAAATGAATTGTATTTTAAAGCAAGATTTAAGCTTTATCTTCAAGCTCAAAAATCTGTACAAAAATTAGACTAAAATAACGCTTCTATCTGAATTAAGCTTTCGATGATCATGATGATGATAGTGCTAAAATAGCTAATAGTAATGCTATATACTCTATACTATATTAAGATATGGGGCGAATTTTATTTATATCATAGGAGCAGAAGTAATAAATTATTGTATGCTTTGTCTACTGGCGAAGACTCAGATTGAGACTCGAAACGTTTTTATTTTTTCATATAAAATATCCAAAGGTATTATTTAGCAATAAATAGAAAATTCGGGACATTTGTCAAATAACTCAGAAATTTTGTATGAAAGCACCCTTTTTCAGTTAGATAGGGTAAAACTAGATAAAATTTACTACAAATCCTTATAAACTTAAATACAGTCCGATATGAAAATTTAAACGACTTTGAATTTGATATTTCATTTTTAGCAATATAAATATAAAATTTGGGTCATTTTTTTGGTTTTTGTCAAATAACTGACAAACTCTATATGGGGCACTTTCAATTAGCTTAGGAGAAACAAGATAAAATGTACAACAATTCCATGCCAACAGTTATATTCACTCCGATATAAAAGTTTTGAATAAAACGACTTTAAACTTGATATTTCATTATTTAGCAATAAATAATCTATATTCTATATTAAGATACGGGGCGAATTTGATTTGTAACATAGAAGAAAAAGTAATTTATTATTGTATGTTTTGTCTACTAATGAAGACTCAGATTGAGACTCGAAACGTTCTTATTTTCATATAAAATATCCAAAGGCATTTATCGACGGATTTTTTCACAAAGTTTTGTCATTTTTATTTTCATATAAAATATCCAAAGGTATTATTTAGTAATCAATAGAAAATTTAGAACATTCTTTTAGTTTTTGTCAAATAACTGACAAATCTTGTATGAAAGTAGCCTTTTTAAGTTAGATAGGGTGAAACTAGATAAAATTTACAATATTTCCTATGAAACACTTTTATACACTCGGATATAAATGTTTTGAATAAAACGACTTTGAATTCGATATTTCATTATTTAGCAATAAATAGAAAATTCGGGACATTTTTTTGGTTTTTGTCAAATAACTCACAAATTTTATATGAGAGCACCCCTTTTCAATTAGACAGGGTGAAACTAGATAAAATTTACAATATTTGCTTGGAAACACTTTTATCCGATATAAAAGTTTTGAATAAAACGACTTTAAATGTGATATTTTGTTAACTTGTTTTTTTCTCTTTATTTATTGGATGGATGTCAATGAAGAAAACATCAGCGTTTTTGCTCATATTTATAAGGTAGGTTCCTTATAACCTTAAAAATATTTGAATTCGAAATGCGCTCTGGACAACCTGATATCGAGCAGCAGTAATGTCCATTATCACTTGAAAATATAAATAAAAAATATGTTAACTCAACTGACGAAGTACTACCCATTATTGTTGCTTACATATTTTTTACCAGATACACTTACAAGGGTTTGTCTTTTTTTGGGTTTGTGTGTATGTGTTCATGTGTATGTATATAATATATGTATATTTTACCTTTTAGGGTATGGAAGTTGAGAAGATGATAAATAATTTAAATAAGACAAATATTGAGAATCGTTGTAGAGGGAAAAGAGCTTTTCCTATACAAGTGTTGGTAGAAACGATATCGATTAGAAGGCGCACCTTATGTTTTTGCCAGTAGAGGGGTGTATAAGAATATATATATATATATATATATATATATATATACATACATATACACCTATATATTTATACATTTATATATAAATACTATTACAAACACATTATACTGGAGATGTGGATACAAAGCCCAAAGTCTTGCTCAAAACTTATCCTTTCTGCCGCAGACATAATGATCATTGCTTTTTTTAATTATAATTAAAAACTATTACTTTTATTAATTAAATGTGAGTATTTTTTGAAAAAAAAATTAATAATTTAATATTACGTATAACTAAAAGAATGCTTTATAATTATTCTATTAACATTCCGAAAAAGTTTATGTTTTCGCCAAAAAACCCGATATACTAATTTTATTTTGTGTTAAAGTTTCTTGTCAAATCCTTTAGTAACAAAATTGGAGAAAGTATGTTTTTTCTGTATAGCGAATGAAATACATTTACGCATCCTGGACTAGGTCTTTTGTCTGGGTATGTTGCACTCAATGCCATAATACCGACTAAAATTTTCGCTTGGTATGGAGGATCTAGAATGTTAATTTTATTATTATCATATATATTATTATAGTATACCAAAATATGTGTGTGTGTGAACAGATTTTTGACTTTCCGTCGACATTTTTCAAAAAACGGTTGAGTCTATTTCAAAAATTTAAAAACCATTCGATGAAATTTGATGAGTAATCGCGTTGGTAAGATTCTTGATATGATCGGCTGAGCCGTTTCTTTGTAATTAGCAGTGAAGTGAAAATGTTTCCGCAAAA